TAAATCCCTATATTTATTTATTTTATTTATTGCATTTATATACCACCCATCTAGACATAGTCTACTCTGGGCAGCTCACAACATACAAGATAAAAACAATTCAATATATATATATATTAACAGTTTTCAACAATATACAGGACAGCAATAGTTCAAGATGGGATGAAAAGAGAAGTAGTGCCTGGAGGGAAGGCCTGTCTGAATGACCAGGTCTTAAGTTGGTTTCTGAAAAAACCCAGCAACCTATATAGCTTAGGTCCAGGATATCTAAACAACTATATCTCCAAACATGAGTCTCATCAGTTTTTAAGATCTTCAGGGGAGGTCCTTCTCTTGGTTTTATCACCCTTACAGCCGTATATGGTGAGGACATGGGAGACTGCCCCCTCAGTTGCTGCTTGCTTTTTAAAGTAATACTGTAACTTGTTGTGCTTTTAGCTGACTTGCCTTTTAATAATTTACTAATTGCTTTGAGTCTGAGTCCCTTCACTAAGAGAAAGGTGGCTGGCTAAATAAAGAAATTAATGAATGAATGAATAAAATAGGACAAAACTTATTTACTTTCTTGCAACATTTTGAGCAAAGTGGTGCTCAAGATGTTGCAACAAAGGCTTTTGCCTTGTATGGAGTGAGAAATGCTTAATATTCAAGGTGGACTCCAAAAAGGAAGAGGCACTCAAGATCATATTGCAAATATCCACTGTCTACCGAAGCACACCAGAGCACACCAGTGCTGCTGCAGAGCACACCAGAGAATTTCAGAAGACCAGTCTATACTTTATAGACTACAGCAAAGCCTTTGACTATGTGGATCGTGAGAAATTATAGGTTGTTTTGAAAGTATTGGGTGTGCCTCAGCAATTGTTTGTCCTGGTGCGTAACCTGTATTGGGGACTACTGTTAGAACAGAATATTGGAGACAGAATCATTCCTCTAGGCAAAGATGTCACACAAGGGTGCATTTTATTCCCTTATCTGTTAAATATGCATTCAGAACGTATCATATGGAAAGCCAGACTAGACTTATATGGAGGAGGAATGGAAACTGGTGGAAGAAACATCAATACTTTAAGATATGCAGATAACACCATTATACTGGCAGGAGGCAACAATAATTTGAAATGATTGTTCCTCTAGGCAAAGATGTCACACAATGGTGCATTTTATTCCCTTATCTGTTAAATATGCATTCAGAACGTATCATATGGAAAGCCAGACTAGACTTATATGGAGGAGGAATGGAAACTGGTGGAAGAAACATCAATACTTTAAGATATGCAGATAACACCATTATACTGGCAGGAGGCAACAATAATTTGAAATGATTTTTAGTGCCAAAGCAGCACTGCAGCTGAACATTAAGATCAAAATAATGACTACACAAGAACTCCATAGCTTTAACGATAACAATGAAGAAAATGAAACTAAGAGATTTCAAATACTTTGGTTATATCATCATATCAAACATAAACTGCAGCCAAGAAATCAGAATTTTGGAAGAGCATCAATGAAGGAATTAGAAAGATCATAAAGTGTAAGGATATGTCACTAGAGACCAAGAGCAAAATCATCCACATTTTTGTATTCTCAATCACAAATATATGGATGTGGAAGCTGGACAATAAAGACAACTAACAGGAAAAAAAATTATTTGTTTGAAAAATGGTGCTGGAGAAGCTGATTGTTAATATACTGGACTGCCAGAAAGAAGAACAAGCGGGTCCTAGATCAAATCAAGCCTGAACTATCTCTGGTGGCAATCTTGAAACTGAGGCTATCCTACTTTGGGTGCATGACAATAATGCTGAGAAATGTTGAAGGCAGTGGGAAAAGAGGAAGATCAAATATGAGATGGACTGACTCCCTAAAGCAGCGTTCCCCAACCCTGGTCCACGGCCCGGTGCTGGTCCATGGCGTGGGCCAGACTGGGCCGCTGAGACCTCCCACCCCCTCACGGACTCACCCCCAGGCCGCCCGTTTGTGCCTGCGCAATGCTCCGTCATGCCCACATGAGCGCCGTGCTGCCATTTGCACATGTGCACGGGTGCTCACGCGCATGCACAAATGGCGGTGTGGCACCTGTGCGGGTGCACCCATGCAAGAACGCGAGTGCAGGGCGTGCCCCGCTTTCCCCAGCCAGTCTGCAGACTGGAAAAGGTTGGGGAACACTGCCCCAAAGGATGCCACACAGAGTTTACAAGAACTGAGCACAGCTGTTTGAGGATAAGTGTGAGGAGGAAGACAGCACTGCTGGGGCCTCAATAGGCAGGACATCTCCCCTTTCCTCTGAGCCAGGAGAATTTGAGACTACCAACTCCCCACTAGACTGAGGCAATGCTCTCTGAGCTGAGCATGTACCCGAGATACCCAGCCCTAAAGGATGCCACACAGAGTTTACAAGAACTGAGCACAGCTGTTTGAGGATAAGTGTGAGGAGGAAGACAGCACTGCTGGGGCCTCAATAGGCAGGACATCTCCCCTTTCCTCTGAGCCAGGAGAATTTGAGACTACCAACTCCCCACTAGACTGAGGCAATGCTCTCTGAGCTGAGCATGTACCCGAGATACCCAGAGAAAAAGAACCCTGAGGCTGGGAATCTAGAAGACCCAGAACACTCAGTTAACCCGGGGACTTTTAGACTGTAAAGGACACTCATGGGAAGCGAAGAGAACAATCTAAAATGGAACTCCTTGTGCTGTCTGTGTTTCCCCTCTCCCTGTTTTAATAAATCGAATTGGTGTTGAAGCATCTATGTTGTCTTCTATGGAATCAACAGTCTTAAAATACAACTCTTTAAATATCTGACAGAAATTCTAAAATCTGTCGTATTTTTATAGTTGTTTGTTTAACAGGAATAGCACTGCATTCGAAGCTTCTAACACAATGAATATCCACTGCTAATCCACTTCAGAAATTAGATCTCTTTACAATCAGCTCCTTTTTTGAAAAAAATCTTCAAAAAACTCTTTCAAAATAATCATCTCTGCTGAATGTATTTATTTTTTGTTTGTTTGCTTGCTTAGAGTAGCAATAAACTGAAAGCTTCCATCCAGAGGCTCTAGCCACCCAAACTCCTTCACCAATACACAGTGAAACAAACAAGCAAAAAAAAAAAAAAACCCAGCAGTTTTAAAAAGCACAGAGAAACAGGTTTTTGTGGTCACACTTTGTTACAACTGACCATTCTAAACCTCGTGTTGTCTAGATCACTGGTTCTTAACCTTGGGTTACTCAGGAGTTTTGGACTGCAACTCCCAGAAGCCTTCACCACCCACTGTGCTGACTGGGGTTTCTGGGAGTTGCAGTTCAAAAGCATCTGAGTAACAAAGGTTAAGAACCACTGGTCTAGATGATAGGGAAAATAGTGATATTGTTAGTTTGCAAGACAGAGAACAAATGTTCCCTCTAGACAAGCCCTTAGTGGGCAATCCTATACATAGTTTCTTATGAGTCAACCCAAAAGAATATACTAAGACTCACTACTAATTAGGCATAGATCAGTCCGGTTCATATCTTTGCTGGCTTTAAAAGCTTTCAGACAAGGTTTTCAAAACTGTGAAATGAACCTACCCCATTCACGCTATTTTGCCATCTTCTACTTGTAACCTCCCATGCTTTGCCACTGTTTCTGTCCTCTTTCTCTCCCCCCTTCCATACAAAATCTGCTTAAAAGCGGTTGCAGATATAGGTCTTCTAGTACTGGCAAGCCAGAAGACATTGTGCAGCTATTCTATCTTATCTCCTACACTGGTAGGAAGAAAGACAGGGGAAAGAAAAGGAAAACCCTGGATGGTTTTGAGTGGAAAGCAATCATCACCTAGACCTTCTCACAAATTTCCATGAATGGGCCAAGGTGCCAAGACAGGAGCAGCTTGGGGACCACATAGGCTGACACCCCAAAATGTTGGTGTATGCTCCCCTCACAGGTCATGATCTGCCTGTAGCTTTGTCAAGATAAAAAGCCTTCTCTGGAAGCACCCAGAGGAGGGAAAGGGAGGGAAAGCTGTGTTGACTGCAAGCACTAGGAGCTCTCCATCTGGAAGTACAGTGCCCTGATTATTGTGGGCATGACAGTCATGGAGGGCAACAATGCTTTTATTGTGTTTTTCCTTGTCAGTTAAAAAGAAAGCAAGTTGGTCAAATCTTTGCCCTGCCATTGGAAGAGCAGCAAGGGGGAGAGATGGGCGCTCCCCCCCCCTTGCTGGGGGCTCTCCTCCTTTGTCATAACAAAGGGTGCTTCCAGAGGAGACCAGGCTTTTGTTGCACCGCTATCGCCCTGCCCCTTCTCGAGCATTTTATGGGGCGGGAGGGGGGGCTGGTAGTCTCCAGATAAGGTCGTCTCCTCATAACCCTCTCCTTTTGGCCCACCTCTGCTTTCTCGTTCGCCTTTTTCTTTTTTAAAGTTCTTTCCACAAAGGTGCTTTCCATCCGGGAAGGAGGAAGAGCGAGAGACGGGAGCGCCGCTGCCTCGAATCTTTTGAGGTTAGCAGCGCTACTCGCGAGCAGCTTCCCCTCTGGAGAGCACCTTCAAACGGAGAGAAAGAAAGGAGGGAAGGAGCAAGGGAGGGAGAGACTCGTCTGGCGAGCGGGAAAGCAGTGAACAGCGGCCCCTGGGGGCTTAAACTGCTGACGGGGGCTGAGGCAGCGGCGTTTGCCTGGAGAGGAGCGCCTGGCACCGACGCGCCGGCGGAGCTGCTCCGACGAGGGGAGGGCAGTCTGGGAAAGAAAGACAGCGGAAAGCCGCCTCTCTGTCTGCAAAGGCAGGGGCGGGCAGCACCGGGAGGCAGCGACCGCAGGAAGGCGCGAAATAGGGAGTCCGGCTTCCTCCAAAGGGGGGGGGGAGAAGGATGGGGCATGAGGGAGGATACCCTGGGATAACAATGCCGCGGCTCAGTGCCCAGGGCGGGAAACTTCCCCTGCGCAAGAAGCGGCTCACAGAATCGGGAAGCGGAGCATGCCCGCCCGCCCGCTCGTACGCCCGCCAGCCCTGGGATCGGTACCTTTTCTCCGGTCACAACGTGCAGCCCTTCCCTCACTTTGGCGAAGGAGCCCTCGCCCAACTTCCTGCCGATCAGGTAGTTGCCGACGCGCTTGGTGTGCTGGAACTCGCGGAGGCGCTCCCGGGACGCGGCCGCGTTGACCCAGGCGGCCAGGAAAGTCCCCTCCGGGCTGAGCGGGGGCGTCGTGGGCTCGCCGTCGCCGAAGCTGGCCTCCAGGGGCTCGCTCAGGAGCCCGTCACCAGCCGCTGCCGGCATCCTGCTCCGAGGGGGGGGGCGGTTGGCTGGGTCCCGCTCAAACGCCTGGACTGGGCGCTCGCTTTCTCTTTCCCGTACCGGGCACCCTCGCTGCCTGGGCGCCAAGGAAGCGTTTGCCAATCCCGCCGCTCTTGCCGATCTCAAAGTCTGCAGCACCAGCCTGCCAATGTGATCAGCACCCGCGAGTCCACGTGGGGACGCGGCGACAGCGGCGGCGGACTCCTGCCTACCGTGGCACTTTGCTTCTCCGTGAAATTAGAACACGCAGAGGACAAAAAAAAGGACAGTCCGTTCCCCCCGACTGGCTGGCTCGGGCAAGATCGACCACGATCCCCACGCCAGCGGTGGTGATCACGCAACGTAGCTCTGCAGCCAGCAAAGGCGATGCAACGATCCTGCTGTTGCTGCTGCTGCTGCTGCGTGCATCACGTTGAAGAGAGAGCCTGAGCCAGCTCCCCCGCTGTTCAATTGTCTCCAGTCTCTCTGTAGAAGCCAGTTGGCTGCCTTCTCCTCATTGGATCTGTCGATCACTCCCGCCCCCCTCGCCTTGTACCGTGCCGAAACTGCCTCTTTCTCTCCTGGTGCTGTAGCTCGAGGCTCCTTTGCACTCTATCCTGTGGGCGGAGGCGGCGCGCGGGGGGGGGTGGCAGGAGGGAGAAAAGCTTCATTCAGGCTGAATTTGCAGTAATTTAATCCGATCACTCTGTTGGGAGCAAATGTAATGAGGAAAAAAAGAAGAGAAAACTCGACAGGATCCAAGATCTTTTAAAAATTAGCCCTCCGTTTTACCTTCCTTTTTAATTTATTTACACATATACTGTAATAGAGTCCATTCAGACCTTAAAACCAAAACTCATGGACAAGAAATCCCCTTTCCAGAGAGTGTCTGTGCCTGACCCTTTAGATTCAGGCAGGTGCAACATTTTTTTATAATTAGGAAGTGGACTTGTCCACGAAAGCTCATGTTAAAATATAACAAGTCTTTAAGGTGCCGCCACTGTTTTGTCTTTTTTTATTTGTTATTTTATTTTTATTATTTTGTTTTGCTTTTACCTATATAGCAGGGACAAATGCTCTGCATGACTCCTTTCCTGAACAGCACTTGTTTTATTTTTCTTTGTGCCTTTTCATTCATTCGCTGAGATATATATTCCTTTAATGCTGCTTTTACTGCACCTTTTGTGCTTGCAAGCACTTTGCTTTCGCTCCTTTGCTGGTGAAATGTGCTTCAGAGCACAGATCGTGACAGCTCCACCAATAAAAGCATAAACGTTCTCAACCTCTCTGTTGTTAAGAAATTGGAGCTGAAAAATGCAGTTACCTTGGCAGCTTGAAGGAGGGGCTCCTTTTATTATAACATTATTTTTATTTACAGCTGTAGCCTCCATTTTATGTTCTCAACATCTTTTTTTACCAATTCCCAGCTGCAACTTGGGAAATCATAGAAGGAAAATCTTTCTCACTCTACCTTGAAGCACCACCCTACACTGTTTTGTAAGACAACTTAGAATAAATAAAACTAAAGGAAATATGAATAGCAGCAGGAGAATTGAGTCAGAACACCTGGAAAATTTAGTCAGAACAATGTCATGCTAGGTAAAATCATAAAGAATATCAATGGTCCTTGACAACCAAATATAGGCTGCAAATCTCTACCCGGTTGTATGATGATTACTGCTGCCACTCAGAGGCTGTTACAAGCACTCCCACATGCCCTGGATCCCATAAGACTCTGTAGCACCATAGCATAAGATACACATGAACTAGGGCTGTAATTGCTAGAAAAACTGAATATTCTGCAGTCACTAATGCCAAAGTAAAATTTGCAGAGGTTGCCCTATCATTGGACAAAGTGAGGAAGCTCCCCCAGGCAAGAGATTTTTGGCTTCCTGAAAGGGTAGTGAATATTTATTTACTGTGCTTATTAGTGGCTAGAATCCTGTTAGTTATGCCTATCAACATAATGGCTGCAAATTAAGAAGCTGATATAGGCATTTAGTGTCCCATCCAACTTGCATGACTTGGTGTGTGACAGCAGATACTGTACCTATGACAGCACCTTAACTTGCCCCAGTTTGCCACTGGAATTTACACGGGTGAAGTTATACAGACATATATATGTAATAAGATTCTGACCATCGTATATTTACTATCAGGAAGAGGGGCAAAGATATGTTTCAGATTTTTTAACAGGTACAAAAACTTGACTGGTTTAAATGGCCAAGTAAAGTGGATGCCTAAGACAGCGCCTAAGGTCAGTCCTGAGAACTTGGAACAACGCTATAAAGCTCCCTGCACTTATTACTCAATACACTTATTGAGTAATAAGTAACCAATTCAGCACAAGGACACTGTTTTAAAGCAAAGCTTTGTTCTAGGCTTGTGTAGGCAACAATGAATGTTCTAGGTTGGGTAATTCTTTTACTGGATTACTGTGAGCGTTCGGATGTTCGGGCCTCATTATTTTGAAATAAGTCATGGGGCATCTTTGAATCGTGTCTATTTATTAATTCAGGAAACTGTAAAACATCATCAATAGGCTTTATAGATAACCTCTCTTGCGAGATTAACGGGTCTTGCAAGGGCAACCACGTATCGGTTTCAAATGGATTCAAAGACTTAAACTCCCAAGGTCCCGCCAAAATCCGTTCAGACTCTTGGGCTTCTGCCTCAGTTCCCTCAGGTATCAGTAATGGGAGGGTTTCCTGATCCCCCAACCATCCCCATAGTGGTGATCCCTCTCCTTCATGGGTATCCCACGGTCCGGGTAGCACCCCATCTTCTGGAGTTCCTCCAAATGCAATGCTCGGCGTGCCTCTGTTTCCCTCGCAATTGCCTCCTTTTTCCTTCCTAAGGTGACGCCGCCACTCATGGGTCTCTGATTCTCCCCAATAAGATGGGCGTTGGGGCAACCCCTTTTATCTTTTCATCTCAGCTTTTTGTTTAGGCACCCGGACTTGCTCCCATTTTCCTGTCCATGGGTCTTGCATCCAGATTGTTTCCCAAACACCATCACCCGTATGTTGTCCCGGTCTGTTTTTACATCCCCTGCTCTTGCCTCCACCATCAACCATCCACTCCCCTCCTTTCCCGCCAAAATGGGTTCTGTTTGGGTTGCCACACTTAACCTTCACATGTCCACTTCCAAACCCCTGGTATCTACGCCTTGATGTACCAGTCTCGATCTCCTCAGGCTGTCCTACAACTCCTGGGTATATAAACCCTGGTGTACTACTTTAGGTGGGGTTGGTGATGGTGTGGTCTGCATCCCTCTAGACGCCTTGGGGAGAGACGGCACTCCCAAGAGGACCTCTCGTCCCAGGTCTTTGGCTTCACAACTACTAAAACTTTAAAATAATGAGAACTCTGGAGTTCTCCAGAATATTTCCTGAGGCAAAGGAGGTGTATAATTTGGGTTTAAAGAAAATAGGCAAAACATTGGGCCAAATGTGCTCCTTCAAACAGTAAGGCAAAATGGAGGTGGCAGATTCCATGAGTGTTAAATCTAGCAATTTACACCTTGGGCTTGTTTTGCAAAAAAAAAAAAGCACCTCCTCTTAGATTTAGGTTAGGTAAAGCCTCTTTTAGTTCACTGAAGAGCTGCAAATAAGATGAACTTTCAAGTTCTCCAGAACTCTTCATCAGGCAAATGTGTTATAAAATCTGAGGTTAAGGCAAGAAGTAAAAAGAATAGGTCACAACAATGCTCACGGCATTTAAAACCCAAGTGACAGCAAGGTAAAATGGAGTTTGCAGATTCCACATTAAGATCCAGGTATTAGAGATATCAGTTATTATAGTATTTCTTCCTAAGAATGCTTGACAAATATGGATAAGATTGAACCAATTCAAAAGCAGATAACGAGTGATTTATCAACTGGAAAAGATGCATTCGATACAGTTCTGTAAGGCCTGTTCTAAATATGTCACCATTCAAGATCTTCATTAATAACATTGATACTTTTAGAAGAGTATGGTTGTATATGTAGATGCATATGTATACTGTATATAATATTAGGCTGTTAGCCAGTTGTCGAAATATTCAAAACTGAATTGTACCTCAATATCTATTGCTTGTTATCTCCATCAGAAGGTAGGCTGATTAAAATGAAAGGTGCTGGCATCACACGCTATGTTCTGAGAAAGTTTTAATTACAGATCAGTCGACTCACCAAATCCCCACTGATTCAATGGGCCTACTCTAGTTGTGACTAGAGATGGGCGTATTTGTATATAAATATACCTGTGTAGCTGGACTTAACGAAGATCCAGCCCCTGAGGCCAGATCGTCCACTCATGTGTCCTGCTGTGGTGGCAGTCCCACTCATCCTTCCAATTGTACCCAGAGCGCCACTCTCTTTCCATTTGGCTGGCCACGTGGCAGCTGTACAGGGAGACTCATCATCCCTCCCCCTACCTGGAGTGGCCAGGCAAGTGGGAAGAGAGCTGCGCTCGGGCACAATTGGAAGGATGAGCAGGGCCGCTGCTGCAGCAGGATGCATGCGTGGAGGATCCAGCAGGGCCGGACCCTTGTTAAGTCCAGCGTGGGGATACTGTATTTGTATATGAATACGAATACCCCTGTCTCTAGTTGTGACTTTTTACTGGTGCCAGCTTATATATTCAGTATAGTTTTGCTTAGTTTAAAAGAATACACAATCACGTGCTGGCTTAAAGTGACACTTTACATGGTTTTATAGGTAGAGAACAGAGATGGGGGTATTTGTATACAATTCTAATACAGGAATGGGGTGTGTGTGGCCCTCCAGATGTTTATTTATTTGTTTATTGGATTTCTATCCTGTGCATCTAGACCAAAGGTCTACTCTGGGTGATTAGAATCTGTTGTCAGATTCATCTCCCAGAATCCCTTGCTGTTGACTATGTAGGGTCATGTTAGGTGGGGTTGCAATATAACAACATCTGGAGGTCCACACATTCCCCATAACTGCTGAGGACCTAGCAATATAAATTCAGTCCAATATTCAAATATTTAGTATTGAATTAAGTGTGTGGTTATTAAGCATATTAACAATTTTTAAAATGAAAGCAATTTTTGAAAAAAATATATAAACATTATGCTCTAAAGTAGAAAACATTTTTATTCTGTCTTCCCTGGTACAAATAAAGACTTTAAAATGAGATCCAACATTAATAGTTGTGTCTCTGTGTGCTTTTTACCGTTAATGAACACTCGAAAAATTTTCTGCTGAAGAGATTTCTCTAATGTTCTTAATTCATGAAGAGCATGCTTTGTTATAATATGTGAAATCTCCTGAAAGGCACATGGGGAGCTAGCATACTTTAAAATCTCTTACAAGTAAAATAAGTTTATTAAAGAAGTGTTTAAATGAAGATTTAATGCACAGTATCCAACCAGGGGGTAGTATAAATGAGTATGCTAACTATATGCTTCCTCATTTGATAAATCTTTTATGTATCAAAATTGCAATTAGCAAGCTAAGCAGAAAAAGGCTTAATCATTATGTATGT